TAGACAGTATATAAATTAAGGGGGGAGACTGCTAAAAATCATGGTTGACAAGCAAATTTAGATTTTCACAACCAATCTTGTCTTTTATTTTAGTTTTGCACCAGCCTAGGTCAATAAATGTCTGTGTTCCAGCATTATCTTTCGAATCTTAATGTAGCAGCAAACTTAAGCCCATATAAAATCTTTAAAATGCCAGAAACTGAAATGCATGAACTAAGCAGTACATTAATGTACAAGTGAGCTGTACTGAGAATTTCATCATAAAACAATACACATGAAACAGCAAACACCTCATAAATCATATAAAACACAACTTATAAACAATAGATGCATGACTGTTAAGCTAATACCTGTAGCGCTCTGCTCTGTAGAGGCCTAGGTGCAAATGGAAGCGAATGCAAAAGCACCAACAAAAGTTGTGAATGCTCAAAGCGATGGCCAGAATCATAGAAATTTAGCCCATCCTCTGAAGAAGAGGCATTGATCTGAAAAGGAGAGAAAACAAAGAAAAATGAAAACATCAAAAAATGAGGACAGTAACCTGATCACCTAATGACATTTTTAAACATACATCTCGAATAAGCATTCAAAGAGACTTGAAGTCTTCTATATATTTTCATTCATTTGCATTGGGTCATGGTTAATAAGAGGACATTTTACATTAATATTAGCAAATATCCTTCTCCCTTCAACTAGTAATTTTCCTTTTCTTAAGAAAAATAGCGTGTATTTAAAAAGTCCCCCCTAAAAAAAGATCAAGTATTGAGAAATTAATTCAACAAACTGGAATGGCCAATGTCATGGTATGACTTTTTACCTTCAAATATTAAGTTTGATTTCTTTATAAATCATTTAAGCCTCTCTAAGTTTAGCTTTTGTTGGTGCTTGGAGGTTTTTTCTCTTGCATGAGTTTTGATCTGATCCCCTCATACTTTTTTTATCTTTTTGATTTTCTTTTTTATGGAGTTTTCATGTGGTGGCATGTGATTGATGGAGTTTTAAGATGCTAACCTAATTGAGTTGTTAAATTCTCATTGTGATGCCTAACATGATTTTATAAAATAAAAGAAGAATAGGCTTATAGTGAATAAATTATGGTAAAGACATTGACACAACTTTTATCAAAAAATTGTAAAATGAAAGGACAATTGCCATATCATGAAGGAAGGTAGCCATACCGAGGCGGCCAACAAAGATGTGTAAACATTGTTGGTCATTAGCCTGTTGGGTGCTGCTTCAAATGCCTTTTGTAAAGCAAAAAGTAGAAGAGAGACCTTGTCTTCAAACATAGTACCACCTTTGTCATGGAGTCCAACACCCAAAAGGTTGCTTGTTGTATCAGGACCAGCAGAGGAACCAATTCTCAGATGTCCTGAAGCTACTAATGCACCTAAGAGACCTATGATTCCAACAACAATCCCATCACTTTTATCAACATTGTAAACATTTTTTCTAGCACTGTCTGCACTAATGGATAGGCTTATGCCTCCCAAATTCTTGACAGAAGGAATTTCAGAGGCAAATACAGGAGAAATAGGATCTGGGCTACTGCCACTATCAACAGATAGAGAACCGTGGTCATTGTCTTGTAAGATGGCTTCATTTTTCTCCTTCGATCCTTCATCCTCTTGACTTCCTTTTGTCATTTCATTACCACCATCAATCTCAGTTTTGTGAAGTTTAGGATTCGTTGACCATGAATCCAGGACACCATTATCTCCAGCTTTAGCTTCCCTCTGGAGCAGAACAAGAAGAGTTTCTACACCACCACATGCCAGGAATTCTTCTGCAAATGTGTGAGCTCTAGATGCATTTGGCTGGACAACCAATCTGTAGAAAAGATGCAGCACCCTAGCAACCTGAAATTGAAGAAATAATTAATTAGTACAGTTTTATTAAAATAAAAATAAAAGAATCAAACCAAAGAATTTATATTATGTGTAACTGTTAGGTTCCTAGGTAGAGGAACCCAAGAAAACTACTGTAAAACACCAAAGTCACTGAAAATATCTGGTATTATTGATTCTAGGCACCCAAAAATAGCCAGAATGCCTCCAAGGGACAAAGTTCCCTTCACACAGAATGGCAATGATCCTGTCAACAATTCTCTAAACATCCAAAAAACCTCCCCCAGCCTACAAAGACTCCCCATTATATAAAGAAAGTCTCACTCATCCTAACAACCCAACTAACAACTAATTTTTTAATTTGTTTCTTCCTATCATACACATTATATCCTATCAGTAACACTCAAGATTTTACAAACTTCAAAATAACCACTTAACATGAGATCCAGAACATGAAGATTACATGCATTAAATATATTGCAATCTAACACAACATACCATAAAATATAACCTATTAGAGTTAAGCTAGTTAGGTTTGCAACTTGTATGGTGATGCCATAGCATTTTCTCCTTTCATTAGAAAAGGGAACTACTACAGATATTCAGCTAGCTTGTTATTTCACAACTGTTGTGCCTTACTGTGCCATGAAAAATGCAGCCCAACTCATGCCTTTCACAAGTGTGGTCAGAACTGAAACAGATGAGCACAACCTTATCATCATGAATGCAGAGACTGATATCATATCAAGATCCTATAACCACCATCACCAAGTCAGTGTCATCAACTACAAGCCAGGGTTTCCATAGCAGTACCACCCGATGATGGGATTGCAGTAGTTGAACAAAATTTCATTAGACTTCAATGGCATTGTAAATTTATCGTTGCAGATTATGAAAGCCACCTCTCCATGTGGCCATGGCAGAAAAAGCAGAGTAGGCACTATTTTTTTCAAGACATATAAGTGTTTTGGTTACGGGATTCAAAACACCTTCACAACATGCACTGTGGACAAATGACCAATGCACTGCAAGACAAAATGAACTATGCAACCACATCCACCAGCTCCCGGGATTGTGCAACCTGTCCAGCCCATCTCTGGCCAATGGCCACATCTCCAGCAAACAGCCCATCAATATCTCTCCATGCAGATTGTTGAGACAAAAAAAATTGATACTAGGTGCTTTTTCCTCTCTTTATAGTACTTTGTACCCCTTGTTCTGAAGTTCAATTCTGATGTAACCTCTCTAGCCAACTGTGCATTATCTCTATTTGTTATCTTGAGTACCAGTTTATGTTCCTTTCTATTTTCTAGAGCCATTATTTCCTCAGTTTCATCTATGATCCCTCTGCACATTTTTCCCTTTACATTGTTAATAGATACTTTTTGTTGAATTTTATTTCCTAGAACACGTTTCTAGTATATTGTTTTAGATATATGTTATTAGTTTTTCTTATTTATTACATTCAACAATTTTTGTTCTATACCTTATATATATGTCTCTGTTAGTGTTATGCCAACATCGCTTGTCATATTATTGCCATGTACCCTAAAGGTTGCCAAGTCACAAGGGAACAATGTCACCATACCAAAAGAGTGCTGCATAGAAAAGAGTCTCTGGCTGAAAGGAACTAAATGATAACACCCATTTGAATCGTAAAACAAAAAGAAAGGTTCTTTTTATATAATAATATTGGAAGAGATAGATACAAGACATACTCAAACATGAAATACACTACCAAAACCCTGAAATAAGTACCTAACACAAAAAAAAAAAAAAAAATAGTCTTCTAAATGATAAAATTTTAATAATAAAAAGGTTCAGTTGATAACACCAAACAAGCAATCATCCATCCAGAAGCTATATAAGAAAGAACCAAAGAAAGGTATACAGTGAAATTATATTCTAGCAAATGCATTTATAGCATTGACAGGAGCCATATGTCTGTGTCATTGTAGTATCCTGTCTGACAATTCTTATTGCCCGCACAAAAAAGAAAACCACTTAAGTGTTACTGCTTTACCTGGTTAGGTTGTGGACAGTCAACCATGAATCCAAGTAAACATCGGACATCATTTGAGGCCAATGAAGGAGATGCAGCCACTATTAGAAGTTCAACAACCACCAAGAGCTCATCAACCAAAGCATTGATTTCACCTACTGGACGTGTAGACCCAGTTAGGGAAACAGTATTTAACGAATCAATTTCGGGAACAGTCCAATAACATCTTCTGCAGCCATCAAGAAGCATCTGAATGGCATTAGCATTTCGCATTACCATTGACTCAGTGAAAACCATATCTGCAAGAGATGATAAAAGCTTCTTTTGTATGCCGTAACTACACAAACTCCAAATTTTTAAATCTAACAACAGTGTAGTGAAGAGCTGCACTTTAAGTGCATGGTTGATCTTCTGAGATTGACAAAGGGATACAACAGCAGCAACAAGTTCCTCATCTTTTACACCATCATGCTTTCTAACATCAAGTGAAGATAGAGTTCGGAGAAGATAATTTAAAATTTTTGATAGAACCTCTGGTCCTCTACCACGAGCCAATTCTTCATTGTTCCTTGGATGTTGAATAGCTGTGGATATAATTCTAAATATTGAGGCAGCCAGAGAAGTGGTGGCTGAAGACAAAGGTGACCTCCCTTGCTGAGGTTCCAGAGTATTTTCATGTAGATTGCTTATAGTCAAAGGAAGCAAAGACAAGGGACCACCATAGGACAATGCCCATAAAGCATCCACAGGACGCAGGAAGGGGGGGGGGGGGGGCGGGGGGGGGTGGGGTGGTGGGGTGAGGGGTGGGGGGGGTGCATGGGGGGGGGGAAGGGGAGAAGGTGGGGTGGGGGGTGGAGAGGAGGGGGGGGGTGGGGAGGGGGGGGGGTGGGGGGGGAGGGGGGGGGGGGCGGGGGGGGGGGGGGGGGGGGAGGGGGGGGGGGGGGGGGGAGGGAGGGGAGGGGGGGGGGGGGGGGGGGGGGGGAGGGTGGGGGGGGGAGGGGGTGGGGGGTGGGGGGTAGGGGGGAAGGGGGGGGGGGGGGGGGAGGGTTGGGGGAGGGGGGGGGGAGGGGGGGGGAGGGGAGGGGTGTAGGGGGGGGGGGGGGGGGGGGGGGGGGGGGTGGGGGAGTGGGGTGGGGGGGGGGGGGGGGGGGGTGGGAGGGGTGGGGGGGGGGGGGGGTGGGAAGGGCGGGGGAGGAGGGGGCGGGGGTGGGGGGGGTGGGGGAGACGACAAGAAAGAGGGGGGTTTGGGGGGTGGGGGGGGAAAGAGGAGGGAGGGCGGGGGAGTGGGGGGGGGGTGGGGGGGGGGGGGGGGAGGGGTCAAGGGTGGGCGGGTGGGGGGGGACGGAGGGGAGCGGAGGGGAGCGGGAGGAGGGTAGCGGTTGGTGGGAGGGGGGGGTGGGTGGGGTGTAGGGAGGGGGGGGGGGTCGGGGGGGGGATGGGGTGGGGTGGGGGGGTGGGGGGGGGGAGGGGGGGAGGGGGGTGGAGGGGGAGGGGGGGGTGGTGGGATGTGGCAGGGAAAGTGGAGGGGGACGAGAGGAGAGGGGGGGGGGGGGGAGAGGGGGGTGGGGAGAGAGCGGTGGGGGCGACAAGAGGAGGTGGGGGTGGGAGTGGGGGGGTGGGCGGGGGGGGGGGGGGGGGGGGGTAGGGGGGGGGGGAGGGGAGGGGAGGTTGGGGGGGGGGGCGGGGGGTTGGGGGTGGGGGGGGGGGGGGGGGGCGGAGGGTGGGGGGAGGAGGGGGGGGGTGGGGGGGGGGGGGGCGGTGGGGGGGGGGGGCGGGGGGGGGGGGGGGGGGGGGGGGGGGGAGGGGGAAGGGGGGGTGGGGGGGGGGAGGGGGGGGGGCGGGGGGGGGGAGGGGGTAGGGGAGGGCGGGGGGGGGGGGGGTGAGGCGAGGGGGGGGGGGGGGTAGGGGGGGGGAGGGAGCGGGGGGTGGCCGGGGGGGGGGGGGGAAGGGGGGGGGAGGTGGGGGGGGGGGGGGAAGGAGTGTGGGGGGGGTACGAGGGGGGATGGGGTGGGGGGGGGTGGGGGGGTGGGGGGGGGAGGGGGAGGGAGAAGAGAGAGGGGGGGAGTTGGCGGGTTGGGGGGGGTGGGGGGGGGGGGAGGGGGGGTGAAGGGCGGGGGGGGGGGGGGGGGGGGGGGGGGAGGGGGCGGGTGAGGGGGTGGGGGGGAGGGGGGGAGGGGGGGGGAGGGGAGACGGGGGGCAGGGGGGGAGGGGGGTGGGAGGAGTGGGGGGGGGGGGGGGGTGGGGGGGGGGGGGGGGCGAGTGGGGGGAGGGGGGGGGGGGGGTGGAGGGGCGGGAGGAGGGGGAGGGAGGGGGGCGGGGGGAGGGGGGGGGGGGGGGGGCGGGGGGGGGGGGGGTGGTGAGGGGGGGGAGGGTAGGGGGGGGGGGGGGGGTGGGAGGGGGGGGGGGGTTGGGGTGGGGGGGGCGGGAGGGGGAAGGAGGGGTTGCGCTGGGGGTGGGGGGGTCGTGGGGGGGAGTGGAGGGGGGTTGGGGGGGGGGGAATAAGAAAGGGGGGCGGGGGGGGGGGGGGGGGGTTGGGGGGATGGTGGGGGGGCGTGCGGAGAAAGAGGGGGGTGGGGGGGGGAGAGGGGGGGGGGGGGGGGGGGTGTAAAGAACCGGTCACGGGAGGGGGGGGGGGGGGGGGGGGGGGGGGGGGGGGGATGGCGCAGGGGGGTGGGGTGGGGGGGGGGGTGGGGGGGGGGGGTGGGGGGTGGGGTAAGAGCAAAGGGGGGGGGGGGGGGGGGGGGGGGGGGGGTGTGGGGGGGGGGGGGGGGGGGGTGGGTGGGGGGGGGGGGGGGGGGGGGGAGGGGGGGGGTAGGGGGGGGGGGGGGGGGGGTGGGGGGGGGTGTGGGGGGGTAGCACGTGGAACTGCCCAAGAACCTCAGCTGGACGACGAAGAGTTCCTGAATCATTATAATAAAGGAACTATAAGAAGACTGGACAACAATACAGAAAATTTTATACACCTTCATTATAAAAGAATTTATATTGCAATGACAGTAGATATATCTTAAAAAACCTAGGATGAAAAGCTTTTTTAAATACAGAAATGCTTATTACAGATAATTTTTCCCAAGACCAATGCTTTTGTGATCCAACAAAACTACAACAAAGACAACTATACAAGATAACCTCACGAGACAGCTTAATCACAGATAGAACACTAATAGTATGTCTATTTCTCAATGAATTTCATACCATTTACCCACCCTTTAATTTGGTTAATATTCATTGAAAGACTTTTTATAAACAATAATAATACAACTTTATATGCATGGATATGAGCTTAATGCAAGCCCCTAACTGATCTGTTCTTGATTCCCAAAAATAAAACAGTTTTTGAATTATATAGTTTTAAAACAAAAGAAAATAAACTTTCAGAAATCAAGAATCAAAGACTTGGAATTAGAGTAGAAGCATCCTGAGGAAAAAGAAAATTTTTCACTACTACAGATTAGAGAAGAACCACCATTGTGATGATTACAAACACTAACCGAAAATATAGTAAATCACTTTTTATTTCCATCATATAAATCCACAAACTAACCTTCGAACAATTATTTACCAGGTACCAGGGCCTTTCTGCACGACAAATCAATATGCATTTATGCAGTGTTTAAAATTCATTACTCATGTATTATCATAAAAGAATCAATAGAAATTATCAAACCTGAAGCACCAGAGGGTGAAGCATCAGGACAGAAACGCCCACTGAGCAAACTGGGATGATAGAGCAGATGAAGGCAACCTCCTATATCTGCATCCAAAAGCACACTTTCCTCTGCCTTGTTCTGCACATACGCATTTGTGGCTAGCCATGGTAGCCCAGCAGCATTACCAAAAGAAGGAACTATATCCCCACCTCTAGAAGCCATGCATGACATTCTTTCTGGGCCAATTGGTTCCTTGAATATGTAAACAGGACCCATCTCAGCAAACAGAGGACATTGGCGACGGCGGCGTTGCAAACCAGCCATAGTAGGAGGAGGGTTAGTTCCTATGCAGCAAAAGGCAAGAGGTTTGGAAATTCGAGGGAACTCAAAAGGGCGACTTTCATACAAAGATCCATCTATATACAATCTGACTTCACTTTCTGCTTTCCCAAGAATTCCATGCTTGCCTATATGTTCAAGACCAATGAAGTACCAGCATTGTGGTTTGAAAGCATAGGTAAAATGCAAAGAAGATTTCTTTCCCTTTCCACTAGCAGTTTCAACAACCAAAAATTGAGCATGGAAATAAGCCTCTATACCCTGATTATCACCGGATAAAAAACTGAACAGCCTTGGCATGTGTGCTGTACCTTCACCAGCAAGTGCACTAGCTGCAGCAGCAGCTGACATAGCTGATGATTTACCAGACCTAGCTGCTGCAGCAGCAGCAATTGCAGCAGCAACTGTAGCTGTATTTAATGTGTCTGCAAATGATTCAATGTAGATCCATGTTGCAAAAGCATATCCATTGATAAATGGCCAACGGCTTTCGCCTGGACCAAGCAAACCAGAACTTTCACCATCAAACTCAAAGGTGCAAGCTGGTCCCATTGACTCCTTTCCACTTATTGCCTTCTCCAATGCTAGTGTTAATCGAGGAGCCCAAACTGTTGTAAGTGTTTTTGTAATTACTTGAAACCATCTATAAAGATCACTCACATTGAGAGAATGACCAGCTAAATATTGTATGCAGTGACACAAAGGAGTTCCATCCCACCTCATTTGACCATTCAAGCCAACATCCACAGTGAAAATTTTTTCTGCTGTTCTCAACAACACTTCTAACAATCCAGCCATTGAGCACATTGCTCTATTTCTAGTACAAGCCCTTAATATCACAAGTAGTCCCCTTACCATCCGTGTCCTTGGTGACATCACATCATCTGTATCACCTGCATAAGGAAGCCAAGGAATAAGTTCACCTGCCACAATGGCAGCCCGGGAATTCAGCATCACACTGGGAGGATTATTATCTTCATCTTCTTCAAAACTTTCCACACCACCCATTGTTGCAAGAAGGGAATCTACAATTAAGAAAGGCACACTGTCCATTTCTTCCCCACCATCAAAAATTTCTACACCACTTGCGATATTCTTCAACTTGTCCATACCTTCAGGTTTCCCCATAATAGCAGAATCAACTAAGTGGAGCAGTTCTGGAGAAACATTTGGCTTTGCATGTTTCTGTCTTGGCTTTGGTGGAGAATTAAAAGTAGAATATCCGCTAGAATCAAAATTAATTGATGCGGAAAAATGCTTAGATGTATGACCATAATGTCCTTCTGACCCAGGACTATAAGAAAGATTATCTTGATTCATGTCTGCAACTGGTGAAGAATCATTCTCTATTGAGTTTGATCCAAATGATTGTTGAAAATCCTCTGCATTTCCACCATATGGATGTTGTTTACTATCAGAACCAGACGAGCGGTTTGAATCCTCATACTCATTACTCTTATCTTGGTCTTTCAAAGATACTTGCTCAAACTGGTCATCGTCCATTACTGTAGTTACAGAATCAATAACTTGTTCTTGCAAGTTAGCCCTTTCATCTATAAATTCAACCCCAACACTGCTGCTAGAATTTACATTTTGCTGATGAGGACTCCCAATAAATTGTTTTACACCACTATCTACTATTTCATCAGTATCTAATTCATTTCCAGATATCTTTATCTCTTTTGTTTCTTCGTTTTCTTCCATCAAAATGCTTATGAGTGAGCTAAACAATATTCATTCCAATTATGAAAGCCCAATCCACCTGTAAGTAGCAATTTTACAATAACCACAAAACAGCTTAATGGACAGCAAGTTCTATACGAACATTTTGGAAGAAAAGACATTATGTCATGCATCAAACAAGAAAACCAAAAACCCTATGGAAAGAAACCAATTAAACGAAAATAGAAAATGCTTCTATGATGGCCAATACTCAGATCCACATTCTCTGCACTCACTTTTTGAACTCATTCAGCAATTTAGAACGATCAAGTTAAGATCAGCCCGCTTGGATTATATCTTGGTAATTCAACTTAAAACACATCTAAATCTCAGCAGCTGATCTTTTATCCAACAGTTATAAATGCACAAAATGCATGATTATACACAAAAACGACTGCACCGAATCTGGATCCTCTATGACTCTAATATTATATTTCATGTGCATAAAATTGAACCTAAACGAAGTAAAAAAAGGTGATTCATGAGTTGCACACTATTTATTGATCTGGTTAACTAAAAGCATGTAAATGGTTGACAATGACAGTTCGTCCACTATTTCAGTACAAAAGGTCCTGCGAGGCAACTAAAAGTAAGCTTGATAATCTTTAGTTTGACCAAGCACACAAGAAATCATTATAAAACTTCAGATTACAATAGTCTAGAGTACACACTAAGAGGAAATTCATTAGCTTCCTCGGTCAACTCAAACAACTAGTTCATTTGCTAAGATTTGAGTTGATAACAAATTTCCAATTACTAAATGAAGTAAAGTGTGCACAAGTCGAAGCTCAAAAACACTGACACTGAAAAACGCTCCAGCGTTTAGTTAAGTTAACCATTTGAAATCGATTCAATCCAACAAGAACGCAACAACAGTAAGTAAAAACAACCACACGTTCATCCAAAGCTAAAAGTCGTCGCTTAGCCAAAAACGCAAAAAACAAGTCTCGGATCTTGCTCGAACACAAACTCAAGCAATCGAATCGACTCTGATGGCCTCGCATTGCGAAGGTGGATCGAGAATCAGCAGATCTCTCCGCTACGTCTCGCGCATTCGCGCAGGATTCGATCGAAGCTTGAAAAGTCAATGAAAGAAAATGCACGGATCGCAACGAAATCCACATTGCTGCTTCAGATACACATAAAACCAAGAAGAAGAAAATATAGGTCATAGTTTGGCTTACCTTCTATAGTATTCCGGCGCGGAGTGTCGTTCGGTCTGATCGCCGGTTCCGATCGAGGATTCGACGGAAATGAAAGTGTGGAGAGAAAAAGTGGAAAGGGAGTGAATTGGAGATGGAGGAGAATAAGGCGAATTGGGCGCGAAAGAGAAAAAGAAGAGAAGAGAAAGAAGGAGGTTGGTGCTGCTTGTGTTGGTTGTTGCAGCTCGTTCTATTCTGGAATTTTCAACCTGCAACCTCCTAAATGAAACGACAAAGTTTTTCTTAGGCGATTTTTTAACCTTATGAAAAAATCAGTGATAAATTTTAATATTTAAAATTAGTAAATTTAAAAATTATTAATTTAATCCAAAAAATTATAAACTAATTGTATTGACGTTTGTTTCTCTAAAAAGTTAAAAAGATTTCCCTTACTAAGCTAATATTTATTAAAAAGCAAAAAAAAAATATGGATCTCAATTTTTAATTTTTAGTGAGCTATATAAATTTTTTAAATTATCAAAAACACATTTTTCTTTTGTACAGAATTCTTTATTTTAATTTTTAACCAGCACAATTATACAAATTTTAAAATTAATAGTAATAATAATAATAATCTATTCCTATATTAAAAATTTATTTTCTTTTTCTGTGTATAATTTAATATTTTAATTTTAGTTTTTATAATATAATTAGTATTAACTAATTTTTTAATAGTAACCATTATTTTGAAATTCTTTTAAATAAAATGGTCATAGATTTTATTATTTTTTGCTCTTCATCATATTTATAGTTTTACACTGAGAGGTACTTTTTACAGTTATTTCTAATTTCTTTTTTTTTAACTTAAAAAATGTGAGAGGACGTGTGCTTTTGCTATTAATAAGCTAAAATCCTTTTTTAGGTTTCTAATTCTTATAAAAAAAATTAATTAGATCTTTAATTTATTTGGTTTAATTTAATTTTTAAATTTTTTAAGATAATTTAATTATGTCATTTGTGATAGATTAATATTAAACTTCATTAAATCATTTTATTTTAAAAGTTTAAATATTTAAATTAATTTAATTTTAAATAAAATGATTTAATATATAAATTTTAACAAAAATCTAAGATCAATTTAACAAAAAAAACTTAATTAGATATTTTTAGAAACTAAAATATTAAATTAAAAAAATAAAAATTAAAGAAAGAAATGGATTTTAGCCTAATAATAAATACATCGTTAAGGACAAAAGAGCTTGTGTGTGTGTGTGTGGGCTTAATCTGGGTTTATGCCTTGTCCAACCAATATAAATGTTGGACTCTCATCTCAGGACATAAGCATAGGTGCCTCACAGAAATTTAAAAAATCTCTGTTCTTCGTCTTCTGATTCGCAGCAGACAAAAAAAATAAGAGAAAGTTTGTGAAGTCACAGATACGCATAGTTCACAAGGTCTGACATCTTCTTCACTCTCTTTCTTTTTGTTTTCTCATTCATTTTTGCTTTTCTTTTTCATCCCACTCGTTTTGCGTCATTTGGTGGCGAATTCCGGTGCACCCCATTAACATTCGAAGCTTCAAAGTCGATTCTTTAATCGGAATGTGCACTCTTTATGCGATTATCAGTCATGGGCACTTCTTTTGTGAGTGGTGTGCATGAAAGAATGAATTCTTCTGCTTCAAGATTCACTTCTATTGTGTGTGATCATGAATTGTTTCTGAAAATGCGGTAAAAGGTGTTAAATGGGAACATTTCCTTCATTTTTACGTCCAAAGAAGTCTTCTTTGGTTTGTCTTGGACTCAACTCAACTTTATTATTTCTGTTTTCTCAAGTTATCCACTTTTTTATGGACACAATGCTTTTTTGCGAACAAAAGTCTCCCTCTTGATGATTGTGTGTGGTATATGTGATTTCGTTTTATTTCTTTTTTTCTTGTAAGGGATAACGAAAACTAGAAACGAATTAACTCAATTTCTGGCAAATTTGTATTCTTTTACTTTATAGAAACAAGAGTGTGACCGAAATTCTTGATCCTCAAGCTGCACTAAAAAATTATGAAATCTCACAGAACCCTGTTTCTCTATCTCACTCATTCCGGTGAAAGTATTGTATCCTGATGCTTAAAAGTTTGTGACTTTGTTGATGGTTTTAATGTGGACACTGATAAATGCTGTATATGCTTTTTACATATTTGAGAGGCTGTGATTATGATTGTGTAGCAAAAATGATTTTTGTCCCCCTTCATCTATAGGTGGCTTAGTATTCAATGTGCTGCCAATAGTTTGATAAATATGTTTCCTAAGCCTAAACTCTGATCCTTAAGGAATGAACCATTTAACGTTAAATATGATGATCACTGTTTCATCCCTGCAAGTGTGAATGAGTTTGTGATGGTTGGTTTTCTAATACTTTGCATTACTGTGGAGATAGATATTGTTGAAATCTGTTGGTGATGGATTGCTCTGATCATGCAAGTAAAATGGCAAAATCCGCTACAGGGAGTAGTGCTATCCGGAGGAGGCCTCGGGTACTACTTGCTGCTTGTGGAAGTGTTGCTGCTGTAAAATTTGGACATGTTTGCCGTTGTTTTGCAGAATGGGCAGAAGTGAGGGCAGTTGTCACAAAATCATCCTTGCGTTTTATTTCTGTACAAACATTTCCTAAGGAGATTCATGTATTTTGGGATGATAATGAATGGAACACTTGGAAAAGGATAGGTGATCGTGTGGTTCATATTGAGCTTATTAGATGGGCTGAAATCATGGTCATTGCTCCATTGTCAGCTAATACTCTTGGTAAGGTAATCAAACTGACAAACTTGGCTGGTCTTATCTCCTTCTATCTGCATTATCATGTGACAAAGGCATCACTATGCATTGAACAAACTGTGTAGTCTAAGACTGGTCTATTTGTGCAACCATGGTGAATAATCTATTATTAGAATGTAGGTAAGTTCCCGATCATCAATGTTTAATTTCATGCTTGGATTTAGATCTTCTCCATTGTTGATTAATAGAATGTATTCATTGTTAGAGAAGATATAGTTTTCATTAAATAAAAAAAACTCACTATGATTAGCATTGACATTGTGTGATCCATGTAATCGGAAAGACTTTGGTGTTGCTGTATGATTGGTTATAGGAAGTAGACATGTCACACTTTTCTGCATTTAGTCAATATTGAAACTGTTAAAATCAAGATCAAATGATTTATATTTATTTCTTATATCCAACTTATAATACACATTCTGTATGTGAACTTATCTTCATCTATCAGTAAGTGATTCATGATTCCAAAAATGCATGAATGTAGGGAATCCAATTTGCAGCACACAAGATTGATAAAATTTCTGGCCACTTAATAAATAAGGATTCAAATCTGATGTTCACATCTTGTATAAGTCTGAGTGCATGTTTATATTTTGAGCATATCATTTGCAGTTTCCAATTGGCTCTTGTTATATTTCTCACTTAAAAATGTGTTGCTGTAGATAGCGGGAGGGTTATGTGACAATCTTCTGACATGTATTGTGAGAGCATGGGACTACAGGAAGCCACTTTTTGTGGCACCATCCATGAACTCTATCATGTGGAAAAACCCTTTCACAGAACGGCATTGCATTACCATTGATGAGCTTGGGATCTCTCTCATCCCACCTGTCGCACATAGGGGAGCTAATGGGGATATTGAGCATGGAGCAATGGCTGAACCTTCTACCATTTACTCAACTGTGAGGCTTTATTATGAATTAAAGATGCAGTAAAAGGTGTAGGTAACCAGGACCAACAGTTTTGACCATTATGGTGTAAGTATGGATTTTTGGTTTTGTCAGAAATCTTGACTCTTTTTGATCTTTTATCATTTGAGTTAAGTACTTGAATATACTGTGATCATATTTGATTTGGTCATATAGTTTCATTGAGCAGTGCAGTGCCTCTTACTCTGTAGTAAGTAATAAGATCCCTATTATTGAAGTAAAATTTGATATGAATTTCTTAAAAATTAAGTGAGATTGTAGAGACTACAAAAAGTATTGTGGATAAAATTATAACTATGTTTAAGAATATGGATAATATGAAATACAATTTGCGCAGTATATATTTGAAATTTTTTAGGCACACAAAGAACATTTATGACTTTTTGCTTAAGTGATTGACTAAGTAGTGCCCACACGTTTATAATAAAATCTCTAATAGTTATTCACAGAACAGCATTAGATTACCATTGAGTTTCATGTAAATCTCTTTCTCAATACCATTGTTGAGAAGTATTGTTTTCACATATATTTGATATAACTTAAAGTAAACAATGAGCCATTAGACTTATAACTATTCAAAAGATCTTTTCTTGGATATAGTAGAAAAAAAAATTGTATTAATGATTCGTTTTCTAGTAAACCATTTTCTAACAAGTCTTGTTTTCCATGTCTCAATGTTGCCCTGTGAGTTTTTCTTTACTTTAAAGATTCATTTATGTGCAATGGTTTTCAAACCATTAGACAAAGCAACAGACTCCAAACTTGGTTAACGACCATAAAATTAATTTCATTTCATGGCATTGTACCACAAATGTAATTCCTTATAATTCATTGTTTATGTAAACATTTAGGATTATTTTTGGAACTAATGTTGTAGTTTGATTCTTATAAATACACTA